CTTACTGCGGTAGATGAAATTGACCGCATCTTTGCATTTTCAGGAGTACAGTCTCATAAAGGAGGACAGATGTGAAATAAGCACAAATAAATGTATCATGATAGATCACACTAGGAAGGAAAAGCAAGGAATAGTGGGAGGAAACAACGGGAGTGGTGAAGAGTGAGAAAGCATGCAAAAATAGAGGGAATGAGCATTCCAAGCAGAGACACAGCATGTACCAAGGCCCTGAGGTGGGCAGGAATAGGATGTATCACTCAGCAGAGGTCAGTGTGGCTGAAGAACAGTGAGCAAGGAGAGAAATCCAGGCCAATTCATGTAGAGCCCCATGGGGGATTTGGGGTTTTATCCCAAGAACAGAAATGGGAAGTCCTTGGTATGTTCAGTGGGGCAGACACAATTTGATTCACATTTCGTAAAGATCGTGCTGGTTGCCAAGTGCAGATGGGATTGCAGTGGGACAAGGATGAATCCGGGAGTTGAATTTGGAAGCTCTAGCTATGAGCTATGGGGAGATGAGGATGATTTGGGTAGGAAAGTAGGTAGTGGATGAAAAATAAACTCAACTGAAACCCCAGATGCTTGACGCTCACGAGGAGAGAAACCCCAAGTCAGTCAGCCAGGATGGTCAGCTTGCTGGCTCCCTCCCACTGCGCTGGCCAGGGAAAAGCTGTCATGAATACTCAAGACAACATCATGATCATTTGGGTTGGAACTTTCTACAACACCCCTCTTGGAGGACTTCATCTAACAAGGCCTGTGCCAGGTCCATGATGCAAAGTGCTGCTGACCTTGGAGCTCTCCCCCTCCATCGTAGGAAGGGAGGCCATGACAAGGAGAATCTGCAGATTGGATAGTCTCAATCTTGACAAGGCCACTCATGGCATCTCGAGAGGGGATCCCATGCTCTGATCTGGGGGATGGTGGCATTCACTTGAAGGGAGGCATCATCTCCTTGGTCATGGAACTCTTCCCACACCCCCCAACCCGCATCAGGTTCTGAGCTGCCCATGGGGAGGGACCACGTCCCTCCAGGTCTGTAGTCCATGACTGCCACAGACTCCTGGGTAAGGCAACCTTCTTACTAGAGGACGGGCTCCATAAGGACAGTCTCCGTTTTACGCCTCCTTCCAACTCCAGTGCCAAGAACAGACCTACTACAAGATGTGCGTTCAGTCAAATGTCGCTCAACCGAAGAACAAATGACTCTCCTCCATTCCCTTGGAGTCAACTGCTCAATCACTGAATCGATGGCCAAGCTGAGAATCAGGATGTACTGTAGCCAATGCCCTAGAGCAATCTACGTCATGCTGGGAAGTCAGACACAGGCAGAAAGAGACAAGGTCTATTCCGGCTGTCCAGACAGGAGGCACTAAGATGGAGTCCTTCCAACAGAGGAAGTTGACTTCAAGGCAGAAGAGCCCAGAGGGAAAGTGAATGATGGAATGGAATTTGAGCAGAGACAAGGTTTGGGTAAGCTGAGGGGCAGCCAGTTAGAGAGAGGGGACCCCTCACTCACTGAACACCTGTCCCTGGGCAAGCCCCAGAGGGACTCTTCTCCAAAGAACCCTGGTGCTGGAGCTCACAGCCCATGTCACAGTTGAGGACACTAAAGTTCAGTCTGGTTTAGTGACTAGCCCACCGTCACAGAGCAAGGAGCTGGTAGAGCAGGGGAGGAGCCCAGACCTGTCTGTGGTCCCCTCAGGAGGAGACATGACAGGATCAGGTACAAAAGTCAAAGGAAGATAGTGGTTGGTTCAAAAGACAGGGATGGGCCCTGCATGAGAGGCATCATCGCAGAGGTAACCAGCACAGCATCACAGGGTGGGGTGACCCTGAGGGGAGCTTTAATGGGTGATAGGAGGAATGACTGTCTTTGATCAGAGAGGGACAAAGGCAGAACGGTGCTTTCAGAAAGTGGACCTGCTATCAGGAGGTGAGGAGAGAGACAGGGAGCCTCAGCACGCCCCACCAGAGGGCGGGACTGGAGAGGCGGGGGGAGAGACGGAAGAAAGCAGGACTTGGGGCCAACAGGAAGGATGTGAAGCAGGGGCAGGACTGCTGGCTGGAACAGGTCCAGGGAGAGGGAGAAACCACTTCTCCTTCCCTTTCTGATGATGGCAAGATTATGACTGCAGAGCAGGGCTGCACAGGGCAGGACTTCCCAAAAATCAGGAGGGAAAGAGCTCTGCGCATGTGTCCAAAACGGAGCCTGCAGTCTCCAAATCATGTGGTTACCTCTGACCTCCTCTACCCACCCTGGAGCTTCATCTGCAGTGAGCTCTGGCTTTGGGCCCTCGGGGACCCCACAGTGCCCCTTCCTCCAGATATCAGGGCAAAAGAGAGACACAGAAATCACGGAGATCCAAAGTGGCCAGAGACCGCAATGGAGGCGGTGTCACCTCATGTGATGGGTAGAAACCTAGGCGCAAGAGGTAAACGACTTGTCTAATGTCACACAGGGGGAGGGACAGAATCAGGACTCAGATGCAAGGCCTTTGGTGTAGACCTTGCCCATATCCATCTGGGACTCAGCAGGAGCAGCCAACGAGTACCCTGACCTTCCTCCCTTCCCGCCCACCCACCCTACCTCCCAAACAGGGCCCAGGAGCCCCGTGTGGCATCCAACCTGTTGCACCCACATAGGACAGCCTCTCTGTGCCAGGACAAGGTGGAGGATGGGTGGGGGGCATCTGGAGGGGGACAAGGAGGTCATGCGGCACCTCGCCCCTCCCACAGCCAAGACTGTGGCAGGTACTTGGGCCTGAGCTGCCTCCACTCTGTAGAACCGTGGGGCAGAGGCCCCAGGCCTGGGCTCTGCAGCAGGAGGCCACCTGGCTCTCCGTCAAGGGTAAGGCCCCACAGGTGCCAGTGCTCTGTCTCTACCCCCAGCTGCTCCAGCATCTTCACATCCCCTCCTTCCTTCCTCATTCACTTGGCCTGCCCTGCCTTGCTTCGATCATATGCAAAAATCTCCCAACGGTCTGCTTCCAGCGACAAGGCAGGCGGTTGGGAGTGGCTGGTTGTCATGTGGAAGAGACAGGGGCCAGCTGATGCCCGGTACACAGCAATGTGCCCACCCTGAGCCCCCGGCCACCCCCCTCCCGCCCTGCCTGCCAGCCCCACACACTGAGGCCCGGCTGCCGGTAAAAAGAAAGGGCTCCTATCTCTGATTCCTCAGGGCCTCTGATAAGAAATGTCATCCCTCGCTGGGTAATATTACCCACCCGATAAGAATCTCTATCAAGCTCAAACATATGGCTGGCTACAGAACACAGAGCCCAGCAGAGCAGGATAATTTATTTGCTTAAGCTGAAAGCCCTAGGCGGCCAAGAGAAGTACACTGAATAAAAGAGGAAGGAGCCAAATTTTAACCTCTCTGACTTGCAGAGGGGATTTTCCTGGGGAAGGCTGGGGCACCTGAGGACAATAGGGGGCCCTCTTCACTTTCCTCCCTACAGGGAAACACTCTCCCCTGGTCTCCCCTCAAAGGGCACTTTCACTTATGCTAGCTATCAAAGCTACTCACTCCTCAAGAGAAGACAACCTCAAGAGAAGCATTTTTTATTCTCCTCTTACAGACCAGGAAATTGAGATTCAGCAAGGTTAAGTAACCTGGCCAAGGTCACACTGGCAGCCAAGCAAGAGCTCAGACTTAGACCCCTTCGGATCTGACTCACCAGCGTGCAGCTGCTGGGTCGCCTGGCTCCTGGGACTAAATTAATCAATTGGATCAGATGTGCCCAACTTGTCCGTTTCAAAGGTCCACGGCAAGCCTCTCCCTATCCCTGGGTCTCTACAATCTGGAACGACAAGGAAGCCTGGCAGGGCACAGAAATTCAAGGGAGAGAGGAGGGGGAGGCCCAGATTAGTGGAGAGGTGGGAGCGACAGAACATGGTAAGTGGGAGTGCCGGAAGGACAGGAGGCTCCTTGCGGCGAGGTGGCTGTTAGCACACCCCACACTCTTCCAGGCCCTCCTTGCTTCATCAACATTGGTAAGGCTGAGAGTGCATTTTGAAACTGATTATCGTTTTAAGATGGTTCCATTTTCCTTCATCAAGCCACTCATTCTTTTTAATAGCTGCATAGTGCTCCATTCCACGGACCCAATCCCGAACTAAGGGGCTTTAAGGATGGTGCCTCACAAAGACGCATGGACAGGTGAAACCCAGAGGAATTTCTTCAGGGCCGTGAAGCCTGCATATGATACTACAATGCTAGATACCTGATGCACATTTGTTGGAAAAGGGGCAACACCAGGAGTGGATCCTAACATAAACTATGGACTCTGCGTGATGATGACGTGTCAGTGTACATTTGTCGGCTGTAACAAGCGTCCCAGTCTGGTGTGGGATGCTGATAGTGCATCCGTGGGGACAGGGTGGATATGAGAGCTCCCTGCATTTTCTACCCAATTTTTCTCAGACCCTAAAACTGCTTTGAAAAATAAAGTCTGTTTAATGATAATAAAAACCAATCGATCACACAAGTGTGAATCACAATTGGCTCAGTTGTATACTGTTAACTGCTGACTTTCTTTTTCCCCGAGTTTGGGTCAGACTCTCCTGCTTCTTTATGTATCCAGTAATCTGATTAAAAACGAGGCTTCGGGTGTCAATAAATAAATAAATCGTCTTATCACTTGCCACTTCAGCCGTATTGAGATGAAGATGCTATTCACACCATCTGCACCTGGGCAGGTGAATTCCTAGAATTCACCCAGTGCCTTAGAAACTCCGTTTTTTCTCTCCTTATGCAGCAAAGTCTCGACACTGAGCATCACCGAGCTGGTGGCTCCTGGCATGCCCACCCTTCTCAGACCTCAGTGGGACTCTGCTAACAGGGCCTTACTAATCCTCGGTGAGCAGCTCCTGCCATTTCCACAAAAGCACATGAGGAAACAAACATATTTCCACTTCTGGTTGCCAAAAACCCCCATTCTTCCTGCCCCTGGTGGGTTCGTTCTGAAATCAAGCTGAACACTAAGCAACACACCAACCTCTCCTCATTCAGGCCATCCCCAGAGCTGGTCAGCATTCTTCTTTTCCTTCTGGGCCCAGAAATGTTCAGGAATGCAGATAGCCCAAGGCTGGATAGAGGCAAATCTCCACAGGAGCTCAGGACTCCGCTAAAATCACAGCCTGACAACCTAGGAAAACACAGTAAATATCAATTATGCCATTTGGAGCCCGAGGCACCTTGAAGAAAATCATCCATTACAAACAGAAAATCCTCTGATAGTCAGAAGATAAAAAACACTTATCTCCCTGGCTGAAATGAAGAAGAACCTAGAGGTTGATATCCACTGAAGACAGCCGTGGATGCTGAGGGGCACACAGACATGAGTACAGCAGACCCCCTCCCTGTTCTAAAGGAGTCAAGACCCACTGGAGGGTCCTGAGAGAAAGGCTGTGATCCATATGGTCATAGAGGGAGGGGCCAAGAGCTTTGGGAACAAAGAGAAAGGAGGCACAGACTCTCGCTGCATAAGATAAAGAAGAGGCTATTTGAGCTAGGTACTGAAGAGTAGGGGTCACCAGGCAGAGAAAGGGGAGGAGACTTTCAGATGTCTTAACATCATGTGTGACATGGAGTGTGAAAGCTTGGCCAGGGGCTAGGCGGTAAAGGATACCCCTCATGCTATGTTAAGAAGTTTCACTTTCCTCTACAGATGCGATGGGAGTCACAGAGACTGCTGAGCAGCAGACTGACAGATCACCACCATGAAGGGACCCTTGGCCACAGGGGACTCAGTATACACGGCTCCCAAGTCATTCTGCAAAGCAGCAGACATAGTGGTTAAACCAGTAGCCTCCAGAGCCAGCAATCTGTCTTCAAATTCCAGCTCTGCCACCACCAGGTTGCGCAAGTTGCTTATCTAGTCCAGTGTTCTCATCTGTGAAATGGGAACAGCAGCAGAGGCCTGTTCTTTGTGCTAGCGTGTGGACGGTGAATTGGATAAAGTTGGTATATGTAAGGTGCTCAGACCAGTGTCTGGCACATGACAGGGGCACAACACATGACAGTTTGGGGGGCTGCTCCCATCGTCCTTGTTCCCCCTGTTTCCTCTTTCAGCATTGCCCTTTCTTTGGAGACATGAGCTGCCCCGAATCTGAGTGAAGGTGAGCAGGCTTAAGTCCTGGTTTTGCTCAAAGAGGGCTGGAATTCTTGTCTGAAATAGACTTTGAGGACTACTGGTTTCTCATCAGCTTCCCAGCATCCCTGTAGCAGGTGCTGTCAGACGGGCTCTCAGCATGGCTGCACCACAGAATCACCTGGCGAGATGTTGTAACCTCAGTGCCCAGGCCTCACTCCAAAGTCAGAATCTTTGGGGGCTGGGGGAGGCGGGAGGGGGGCATTCCTGCCACAAGATTCTTAATTTCCTCAGGTGAGTCCGACGTTACACCCCATCTGAGAGCGACTGATCTAAGGGCCAAACTGAACAAGGAAGGGAAACATGGCAGCGTTCGGGAAAATGCCGCCACCCTCAGTTGGGTAATCTCCAAAAGGCACCTGGCTCCCTAGGTTTCTGCTTCTGAACGCTCAGAGTAATGCCTGGGCGCCTTATCTTTTCTGGGGATGCCACACTGAGCTAGCAAACTTGAAAGTGCCCTGGATCATGATGACCATGACAGAGCCATCAAAACTCTTCTGGAAGTAGGCAGGCCATAGAACACCAACAAATACAACCACATAGGGACATGCAGTGGAAAAAGCGTGGGTGAGGTGCACAGACCTGGTCACTGGGTAGGCTCTCATGCTAACCACCGATACTACTGGGGACCCCATGCCTTTTGTCTTCAACTTTGTCCACGGCAGGCCAGGGATAAGCACTGATCTGCCCACCAGACAAGGTTTCTGTGAGGTGTAAGCAGTAAGACACAGGTCACACCATGAAGGGTCAAGCTCTGGTAAAGAACTTTATTTCACATTTTCCTAGGTCCTCCCTGCAATGTGGAAAGTTCCAGAGAGAGAAATGCCTCCTTTCACAACTGCTATAATGGAGGGTGGGGACAAGACAAGGAGTGGTGCTGACCCCATGAAAGCTTTGCTCCTGGCAGGCTGGAATGGAACCCGTCAGGGTCCAAGTGGGGATCAGTGATAGGCCAGGAGGGCGGGGTGGGGCCCAGGGCGGCTCCAGGGAGACGTTAAGATAGGAAATGTTATCTGGGAACAATGGAACCACCAGACCGTTGTCCTGGCCTGGATCTGACAAGCCGGGATAAGACTTCAGGAAACATGTCCCTCGACAACTGGCCAGAAATGGCCCCAACAGACCCCTGACCCCTGGTTTTGCATCCATTCTCACGTGTACCCTGAAGTGGGTATACAACCACCATGTACCAAGAACTAGGTTTGTTAGAGGTGGGGATGCGGGGCGCCTGGGAGGCTCAGACTGCTAAGCCTCTGCCTTTGGCTAAGGTCACAGTCCCAGGGTGCTGGGATCGAGTCCCCCATTGGATTCCATGGGATGCCAAGATGAATAAGGCCTGGTCTTCTCCCTCAGGAAGGACAAAGACAAGGCAAACAAAGAAGTAACATTTAGATACAACACTATGAACTAAAATGTGACAACACTATAGCCACCCCGCACTGCTGGCCAACTACACATCAGTCAGCATGCTTTGTGTTTTCTCTTTAAACATCTCAAACCCTCAGTGTCCCCTCCAAGTAAGGGTACTAGCTCCATCCTACAAATACGGAACCTGTGGCTCTGAGAGGCTGGTTACTGAACGCAGATCCCACAGCAGTTAAGAGGCAGGGAGCACGTCCGGATCCAGAACAGTGTTACTCCTAACACTCGGGCCCCTTGCCCACAGCTCAGAACAACAACCCAGGGTATCTTCCCTCACACACCTCTTCCCAGCACAGCATCTGCATCTGGAGACAGTTTATGCACCGTAAGCAACAGACCAGAAACACAATTAGGCACAGCACCCAGCCTCGGCTTACGGCTCAATACGAATCGGAATCCAAATAAAACAGCATCGGAGGAGCAGAGGGTGAGGTGTTGGACATCGCAGACCCAGGCCTGAGGCTCGGCCTCAGGATTTACACCTCCCTGAACTTCAGGGCCCTCGTCTTAGAAATAGGAACATTACGGGGCATCTGGATGGCTCAGTGGGTTAAAGCCGCTGCCTTCGGCTCAGGTCATGATCCCAGGGTCCTGGGATCGAGCCCCACATCGGGCTCTCTGCTCAGCGGGGAGCCTGCTTTCCTCCTCTCTCTGCCTGCCTCTCTGTCTACTTGTGATCTCTGTCTGTCAAATAAATGAAATCTTAAAAAAAAAAAAAGGCAAAAACAAAAACAAAAAGTATTGAAGAACTTGCTTCTGGGGATTCACCGTGAAGTGTTTCTTCTCTGACTTCCCATTGGATTGGAGCTCCTGAAGGCCAGGCCTCAGGATTCTGCCCCTATACCCGGCACCTGTAGGCCCAGTAAGTTTGATGAATGGATCCACAGGTGGATAGAAGCAAGGAAAAGAGAAAAGGAAGAAGGGAGAGAGGGAAGGGAAAAGGAAGGTGTGAAGTGTAGGGTTAAAAAGAAAATGTCTATGAGATGAAATCATGGGAAATAGAGATAAAAGGGAGAAGAGGATAAAAGTAAAATGCCCACAGAACAGCTGGAAAAAAACTATGGAATACTATGCAGCAGTTAAAAAAGAACAAAGTGTGTGTGGTGTGTGCACGCACACACCACACACACAGGTATACACCCACAAAAGACCTGTAAGAGATATTGTTCAGTGAGGAATGAGTATATTGAATTATTTGATTGTCTGCAGCTCAGAATGCTCTGCAGTCCATGAAGCCAGCAGACCCAGGGCTGCTGGCTGGAGCTGGGAGCTGGAGCTGGGGGGGAGTGGGGGCGTAGGGGAGGTGTGTGAATTCCACGGAGATCAGCTGACCCAGCCCACTGCCTCAGGCCGACATTTCCGCCCACGATGAAAGGAAGGCCATGCCCTCTCTCCAGGGCTCTAGGCCACAGCAATCTTGTGATTCAGCTTCCAGTCTAGCTTTGCTCCCCCAGTTCCCTGAAAATACTTATACTGATTTCAAGACAAAATAACTAGAAGGAGCTTCCGTCACCTCCAGGGTCCCCACCTGTGGTAACTCATAAAGGACAATGCCCTCCCACTGAGCTGTAAATGAGGACCTATGGGCTCTGTCTGGCTACAGGTTTCACACAGGGGATGTTGTATTTCTGAATTTGTTGTCCCCATCTAAAATTCAGGAAATTTCATTACAGTACATAGTCCAAAAACTAACTCTGCAGCCATGATGCCACACAACACAGTAGCTAGCTGGGTGCTGGGGGGGGGGGGGGGGGCGGCCCCCTCCCTCTGGCCACCATCTCATCCCTCCTGGATCACCCAGCCCAAACTCATCACAGAGAGAGGTCAGGAGACTTACCCAAGGTTACACAGCAAGCCAGGGGCAGGAGGAGATCAGAACTCCATATTCCTCACACAGAGACCTATGTCTCTTCTGGCTGCCAATTTGAACCAGTCGCAGCCTTAGAAGTTAGATGACCCATTGACATCTGGCTAGAACAAGGCTTCTGGGGTCAAAGTGCAGCTCAGGCAGCAGCAGGATACCTCCTACCACACGGTGACCCAAACACACCATAATCAGCCCAGGCCTGGTCATCAGGAGGACTCTTGCTCAATGTTATTCTTTGCTTCATGGGTTCCACATCCAGAGGAACAATACTTCCCCAAAAATCAATTGTCCCCAGAAACCTACATACAGAGTTCTTGGAAAATACGGGTTAAACATTTCGCCGCACCCCCACCCAAAAAAAAAAAAATAAAATAAAAATAAAACAAGGAACAAAGAGGGTGAGGGAAATTCATCAGCAGGGTCCTGCACTTTTCATTATTCACACCAAACTTTTTTTTTTTTTTTTTAAAGATTTTATTTATTTATCTGTCAGAGAGAGAGAGGGAGAGAGAGCGAGCACAGGCAGACAGAATGGCAGGCAGAGGCAGAGGGAGAAGCAGGCTCCCTGATGAGCAAGGAGCCCGATGTGGGACTCGATCCCAGGACGCTGGGATCATGACCTGAGCCGAAGGCAGCTGCTTAACCAACTGAGCCACCCAGGCGTCCCCACACCAAACGTTTTTCAAGTCACCAAGTTCAAATGCCC